TCATCATGGCTTAGTTTCCATTTCTCCTCCGGTGGCAGGAGGGAAATTGCTTTCAGAGTTTAAAATGCAGCAAAGGAGAGGGCTACAATTTGGAATCCTGACTAAAGCCTTCCATGCCTGCATTTTTATGGTGGACCAAGTGCCAGTGAAGGTTCTTTGATGCAGACACCTATCCACTAAGATCTGGACAGAACACCTGGGACAGAGTTACTATAACCCTGAGTTGGATTCAAACAAGATTGAGGATGGTGAAAGACAGCAGCTGTACATAGGCCTGTACAAATCAGAACATACCTGTCCAAGTAGTTGACAATGTTGGGGTTTTTGTTTTCCCTCATTACAAGGATTTCATTAATTATAAGTTCTTTCTTGGGCTGCTGTTGCAAATTCATTTGTTTGATTGCAACCTAAAAGTAGGAGGAAAAAAATAAGGAAAGCGTTACTATATTAACACCCCTAGAAATCAACCAGTTTCTAGTCTCTGCTACTTAAGTCCAATCTTCAAATAAAGTTTAACACTGCTTTATCATCTCAGGTCACCCTGCTGTTTTGGGACAGGGCAAGTACTCTCATCCAGTCCGTTTCCAGAAATGTTCAGGGTAGCAAGCCAAAAAATATGAAGAGACAAGTATTTTCCTACTAAGAACCTGCATCATAGCTGGACAGGCTTGTTCCTTGAAGTGCTCTTGGCAAAACAACAAATCGCTCCTTAGTACAGTATGGATTGATTTCTCTAAAATGCTCATTCTTTATGGAATCCAGCTCTCTTTATTTTGGATCCACATCTTCTTTCCATGCTCCAAGAACTTTGTGGGACAAATTCATTTAGCTTAAGCACAGTCCTTCAAGGTAATAATTTCACTTTGTAATTACTTGAGCTGCAAGGGGGAGCAGAGGTGTTCAGATCCAAAGCTGGGTGATGTCTGGACAAGAAAGTCTGGCTCGGACCCATTTCTAGCCATAATTTAGGAGATGGACTCTTATCATGGTTTGTATCTTCCTGCAGTGCACTACACACACACACACACACACACACACACACACACACACACACACACCCCTCTTCACGTGCGCATGTGTACACAAAGTAGACAAGGGTCTGATGCAATGTGCCCTTCACCATCATATCCAAATAGTCAGAATACCAGTATATAAAGGGCAACTTGGCCACACACACTCAGGCTACGTCTACACTGGCCCCAAATTCCGGAAAAGGGATGCAAAGCAGGTAAGTCAGAATAGGGAAATCCGCGGGGGATTTAAATATCCCCCGCGGATTTAAATAAACATGTCCGCCGCTTTTTTTCCGGCTTGGGGAAAAGCTGGAAAAAAGCGTCTAGACTGGCGCGATCCTCCGGAATAAAGCCCTTTTCCGGAGGATCTCTTATTCCTACCTGAAAGTAGGAACATTTAGGCAAAGATAAAGTGAAGGGAATGTGGTTACACCTTTATGGCAAAGGGCTATTTGGACAAAAAGGCAGCATTTCTAACGTATGAGGCTATGTCTACACTGCAGAGTTTTTGTGCAAAAACTCATGGAGCGCCCATACCTCAAGCACGTTTTCGCCCAGAAAATGTATAGTGAATTGACAGAAGAGGGGTTTTTTTACGGGATAAGTATTCCTCTTTCTACGAGGAATAACTCCTTTGTGCGCAAGAGCTCTTGTGCAAAAAGGTGTGTGGGGAAGGGAAACTCTTTTTTTGCGCAAAAACAGCCTATCGAAAGAAGCAGAGGTGCCCATTCTGTGAATGGCAATCAGAGCTTTCTTGCGAGAGCGCATCCATGCAGTCTGAATGCTCTCTTGCGCAAAAGCGCATCGCTTTTCCAATGCGCTTTTGCAGTGTGGACGCGCTCTTGCACAAGAAGTTTTTGCAGAAGATCTCTACCGCAAAAAGCTTCTTGTACAAGAAGCCTGAAGTGTAGACATAGCCTGAGAGCCAGCAAGGAAAATGCCAGTATAAATGGGTATAATGAGTGCTTAGAAATTATAATGATAGTTATTACCGGAAAGACTGACAGGTGAGACTACAGAGACTGTGCTGCTGGTAACAGTATTTACAAAGCGTAAAATATGCAGTGGTGACATTTGTTCCCTCTGGACAGAAGGAATTAAAAACAGAGGGACCCCTCTACAGGGATGTTCAATAGCGTGTAACTGAATAGTTATTTATCCGCAGTTACACAACTATTTTAGCAGTTACACAACTATTCAATAGTGCCTGGAAGTGAGGCAGACAGCCTGTGCGCTCCCAGGCCATCTCCCAGGGAGTCCCCTGCCATGGTGTGCTGCTGCCTCTGATACAGAGGCAGCACTGCAGGGTTGCAGGCAGGTGCCAGTTTACGAGGGAAGCCAGTTTAAAAACCAGCTTCCCACACAGACCAGCTCCCGTGGAGTGGGGTGTCCAAGCTCCCCAAAGACAGACAGACAGCTCCCCTGATGGGGGGGGGCACTGGTGGCAGGGGGAAATGTGGGTAGGTGACAGAATTAACTGATAAGCCAGTCATCTACACGTTGACAGGGATAGAGGATAAGACAGAGAATATCTTATTGCCGCTATATAAAACTATGGTACGACCACATCTTGAATACTGCATACAGATGTGGTTCTCTCATCTCCAAAAAGATATACTGGCATTGGAAAAGGTTCAGAGAAGGGCAACAAAAATGATTAGGGGTTTGGAATGGGTCCCATATGAAGAGAGATTAAAAAGACTGGGAATTTTAAGCTTAGAAAAGAGGAGACTAAAGAGGAATATGATAGAGGTCTATAAAATCATGACTGATGTGGAAAAAGTGAATAAGAAAATGTTGTTTACTTATTCTCACAACATAAGAACTAGGGGTCACCAAATGAAATTAATAGGCAGCAGGTTTAAAACAAACAAAAGGAAGATTTTCTTCACTCAGCGCACGATCAACCTGTGGAACTCCTTGCCAGAGGATGTAGTAAAGACTAGGACTTTAAAAGAGTTCAAAAAAGGGCTAATAGATTCATGGAGATTAGGTCCATCAATGCCTATTAGCCAGGATGGGTAAGAATGGTGTCCCTAGCTTCTGTTTGTCTGGAAATGGATGACAGGAGAGGGATCACGTGATGATTACCTGCTGTCCCTCCTTCTGGAGCATCTGGTATTGGCCACTATCAGCAGACAGGATCTGGGTTAGATGGAGATGGACCTTTGGTCTGACCCAGTATGGCCGTTCTTATGCTCTTATCCCTACCTCACAGAGCTGGAAGACAAGAATTCCCTAGATCAGGAGGATTTTATCTGCTCATATATCTGTGAGGTAACAGTCAAGGAGACGCCTGTTATAAACTAGACTTCTTTATGGTACAGGGCATACAGAATAGTCAGAGAAGAAGCCTTCTTGAATTTAAAGCACTGGTGAGAACCTAGGAGCACAGGAGTTGCAGACAGGATCAGAATAGTGGTCCAATTAACTAACCCCATATCTTGTCTGACAGTAACCAGCATCAGAAGGTTCAAAGCAAAGGCAGCCTCTACTACATAATTATGGGATAGGCTGCCCCCACCTCTTCCTGGAACAGTTTCTTTCTAACCCCAGTCAAAGTGGGGCTTATGCACTGAAGCATTCATCCCTTCCAAAATTCTGGTTTTCTCTTTTATTTTTAATTCATTCCATAGTAACTCTGGGTGTTCATTATCCATATAGACATAGTAAGATTATAAAAAGACTCGAAGTTCTTAGCTTGTTATATATTGTGACAAGAAGTTGTGTAATAATGTGCTGTGTGCTTTTAGACATTCCACATGGAATGGTACCTGCCTCAGTGACCTAACAGTCTTAGGGCAGACAAGCAAGTGGACAGAGATTGTATTGGGAAAGAGAAACAAAGATTTTCCATGCAGGCCAATTAGATTCACTGTAGGCAAAAGAGGGGAAGTGATATTTAAGGAGTACCTAAATGACAATAGAAGTGGATGGGCCCTTCTCTGGAAGAGCTTGGAAACTGAACTATATAAGTAAATATACACTATGTTGTTAATCTCTCTCTCTCTCACACACACGCACGCACACACGCACACACACGGCTCCAAAAAAAATTCCTTCCAAATGTGAAGATATGTAGGGTGTTGAGTTTAGGAGCTGCAGGTATTTTCTAGTCCTATGCTCAGACCACTAGCCTGGGACTCTCTCATATTAAATTAAGTGTTTTCATTAAAAGCTAAATGCCATGAATCTTTGAAAGAAGCTCAGTAGTTTGTAGTGTCAGCTAGAACTTGTAGGTCCTGTTCCAAAGCCCACTGGAGAAACCATCTGGCAGCGCTCACCTCCTGTCCGGTAGCTACATCCATTGCAGTATATACTGTGCCTGAAGCTCTAGCCAAAGAGAAGAGAAAACACATTATTAGTGCTACACAGGGGCAAGGGTGGTTTAAATAAAAAAGACTGTTCCAATCCATTGCATTTTTTTCTTAAACACAACATTTCCAAGAGTGAGTAATCTGAAATATTTATGTGCTAACCCCAATATCTAAAGAGAGAAAAGACTATTAAGGAACTAGGTATAACACCACAATCTCTTGATGTGTTTAGGGCCTGGGTCTTATCATTGACTGGACCTCCTTCTGGAAAAAAAAAAATCATTAATTCAGAACAGGATTTGATCCTGTCTAAACTGACATGACAGTAACAAGGCTCCCCGACAGGGTAGCGATTAAAGAGTTGAACCAGTGAGACAAGCCAGACAAGGCATTTGTAACGAGGAATAGATAGCTTGATGAATCCTGCACCCTCTGGATTCAGTAGAAAATCTTCCATTCCCTTTAATGGCCCAAAGAGAGAGAGAGAAAGGCCTGCATATGTTAAATGGAACAAAAGTTTATCATATGTATACTCAGTATGGCGAGAAAACATGTACAGTAAACTCAAGAGCCATCTTAAAAAATTGAGTCAACTTTCAGTAAAGAAAGAGGGTAATCTCTTTGAGGCATCCCATATTCCTCTCTCCTGTTCCCCACCTGAAGGGGACACAAAATCAATGCTGAGCAGAGAGGGTTAATACTGAAAGCAAATCTGTAATTTGAAGATGGTTTTGTGCAGTGGAAATAAACGGTTCTTTCCCTGCACACAGATATATTTAGCAACATGGTCATCTAATGACATATATTTTAATATTAAACAATCACACAAAACCTCACAGTCACAATGACTCAAGAATATGTGAGGGGAGGAAGAGAGGAAAATTTCATGATACTGTTCTCAGCAAACACACACAGCTTGGGTTTTCTGCTTTATTTGTACGGGGGAGGAGCAGAATGTACTAACCCTTGTCCAATCTTCTCAAACCGAGTGTATTTCTTTTTGGGGTCACCCACGCTCACGATGCTTCCTTTAAAAAAAAAAAGCAGAGGGAAGAGGGGAGAATGGGATTTAAAGTTTTCATTATACACCAGTGCAATCTCTTGTACATCACGGTCCCAACCGAATTGCTGGGTGTCACTGAGTGTGGGGGAGTCACTGGGCCCTGCACCCCCATCCGCAGCCAGATGGGGTTCTCAGCCAGCAAGTAGAATAGAGATACAGTGTAGTACAGACCTGTTAATACACAAACCAGGAGCAGCCAGTACAATCCAACTTGGGGAGAGGGGGACCTAGGGCCAGCGCCCCCCTCACACACTCAGCAGCCAGTGCCAACTCTGCAAGCAGCACTGGCTCCTCTTTTGTCTAGCTTCAAAAGATGTCACCTATTGAATCTTCCACCTAGGCTCAGGTTACAAGACAGCCTGAGCTATTGTAGTGTATGCCTCCCCCTCACAGAAAGCCACACCCAACATTCTCATCCCCAGCCAGGTATTAGTGCAGCGCCTCGGGGAAACTGAGGCACCCACACGGGGTTACAACAGAACAGTACAGGACAGTAGGAATTGCATACAATATAACAAAGCAAACAATCCCCACTATGCCACACTGGGCCCCTGGGCTCTCTGCTCCTGGAAGGGGTGGGGCCTTGGGCAAAAAGGGCAGGGCTGGGGCAGCCACCCATCAGCACCATGCACCCCTCCCCCGCCAGCCCAGAATGCGCTGTGCAGGGCTCCGGCAGTGATTAAAGGACCTGCCCAGGCATTTGCTCATGACTGGTTGGCATGAACAAATGCCCGCAGCTGCACTGGGCAGATGCAGGAGCTGCTCACATGGAATTCTCTGCAGGGTTCAGAACTAGTTTTCTGGAAGGCCACAAGCTTCACTGTCACCACAGTTAATGTGCAGTGGATGCTCATCTTTTTTCCACCAGCGGGGCTGCTCTGCTCACTTGCTGCCAAGAGAAAGCTGAGTGCAGAGGATTGGGGTTTGTATTTAGTAGAAGTGGGCAGAGAAATATAAAGTCCTCTGTGGGACGGAATGATAGCTGGAGATTTGGCTTTATTCCAATTTAGAACAAAATCCCCAAATTCTGAAATTCTCCATGAAGAGAGATAAAACCCTTACCAGGGGACAGTCTGCTTGATGAGCTGCTTTGGAGCCAGACCTTGGAAGCCACAAGGTCTTCAGCTACAGGGCAGACTGCCTGGTGGGCTGTCCCAGAGCCACAGATCCCAAAAGCCCTGGGATCCCTTGTCCCAAGGCGTCTCCCTGGCTGGCTACCCAGCAGGAAATCAGGCAAGGCTCTGACAGAAACCTTCCAGTTTCCAGAGGATCTCTCTCATAAAAAAATCAGTGGAGTGTTTCATTTTCAATTTTACTGGGAACCCAGTGACAAGCCATGGAAAAGCAGGCTATTTTCAGACACCACTGGGAAACAGCCAAACCACAGGATCTGGGGCAGACAGAAGTAATAGAGAGGAGGCAGCCCACCTACCCAAACCTAGAACTGACACAATTGCAGAAATGATCCTTAAGAAACCTCTCTTTTAGTGTCAGGCATGGGCCTAAGTTCAGCCTATACATTTGATGAATGCTGGAGGGGGTAATGACAGGATTTAGGCAGAGATGTGATATTAAACATTGGCTTTAATCTCTGCTTCCATGTCTCCACCTGTAAAATAGGGTAATACGTCCCTGCCTCACAGGAAGTTGGAAAGATTAGTTAAGGTTGACAAAGTGTTGCACATGAGCTAAAAATTCTTAAAATCCTTCAATATTTGCAGTTGCAAGAAAAGCTGTTCAACTTTGCCAGAAGCTGGGAATGGGTGACAGGGGATGACTTGGTTTGATAACTACCTGTTCTGTTTATTCCCTTGGCCACTGTTAGAAGATTAGGCCAGATAGGCCTTTGGTCTGACCCAGTATGGCTGTTCTTAACTATGTTTACAGGAACTTTAAGTGGCTACCAGAAGACTCAGGTATGGGCCTAACTCAAACCCAGTATGAGCAAGTTCAATTCTGTTCCCTTCAGTGGAATCACATGGGGGAGATATTGCACAACAAAGCTTCCAGCAAAAACCCAATATTACAGGTAGCAGGAGGTGCTGCTAATGGACCAATGTGAGAGAACGAACACAATGCTGAATGCATGGCCCTTTAAAGCAAATCCAGTAAAGCTGAAACACGTAATACAACACAGCTGTAGTGACTTTGCAAGTGTGGCATTCACATTGCCTTAAATTCCTCAAGTCGTTCTAGTAGTAGCCTTTTGTTACAGACTAGCTGCTCCTTTGCTAACAAAATATAATGGTCTGATCCTGTAAACACTCGTGCATATTGCTCTTACTCACACAAGTGCTCATTTGGTGTTAATAAGACCGCTCACGTGAGTTATATGTCCAATATTAGGCCCTGAAAATGTGAACTTTTAGAGAATGAAAAGTTTGATTTTACGTGAGCAATGGTAAGTTTAGTGTTCATTTCACTAGGAATTGTACATCCAAATCTCCTAATCGCTTTGAAAAAAAAAATCTCAGCCTGAAGTGTTTTCATACCTATTACAGCTGTTAATCCATTTTTCACAGATTACGGTGCTAAGAGGCACAGCCTCAGCTGGCGGGACAAAGATCTACTTAGATTGCCAGCTCTTTGGGGTTTTTGCCCTGTGTTTGTAAAACACCAAGCACTACGGCATCCAGGTACATGATTGGGAATCAGGGTAATACAACCAACAGTAACCACAGAAATGGAGGGACCTCGAGAGCTCATCTAGTCCAGCCCACTATGCTGAAGCAGGACCAAGTAAGTCTAGATCCACAAGACAGGTGTTTACCTAACCTGTTTTTTGGCCAGGTCTACACTAAAGAGGAAGGCTGAATCAAGATATGCAACTCCAGCTACATTAATTACATAGCTGGAGTTGACGTACTTTGATTCAAGTTTCTCCCCATCCCCACAGCAGGAGGCCAACTAGAGCAAACACTCCTGTTGACTTCCCTTACTCCTCACAGGAGTAGAAATACTGGCCACTGATGGGCACACCCTCTGAGTTTGATTCAGCAGGTCTTAATTAGACCTGCTACATCAAACTCCAGAAGATCATTCACAACCGTGTCAATTTTTCACTGAGTGAAAGCATGGCCTTAGAAACCTCCAATGATGGGGATTCCACAACCTCCACTGGAAATCTATTCCACAACGTAACTATCCTTCTAGGTAGAAAGTTTTTCCTGAGTTCAGAGGCACTATTCTAATTTAGAGTAGCTAAAGAGCTGATGCCGTGTGCTATTACAATTCATATTTGTACTACAGTTGATTTGTGTAAGTTATGTTTTATTGTCTTATGTTTTTAAATTCTGCTTGTGCCAAGTGACTACGTAGAAGTCAGAGGTTGGGAACCTTCAGGATAGCTATATTACCCAGGCCTTGGTAAAGGCTTCTGGTTAAGAGAGCAGAGTTTTAATGAGGGAAAAAAAAAACCTCTCTTATTTGGTTTTGTGGGGAAGAGAGGTGGAGATTTTCTAGGGTGGGTGCTCATCTCAGGTGCATTTAAACAATAATTTTAAAGGCACTCACAGTACCTAAGGCTATGTCTACAATTACAAGTTTAAAGCACAGACACATCAGCACTTGAAACTGAAAGTGTGGCCACAGTGGTCTCCAAGAGCTCTCTGTAAACCACCTCCATGAGGGGAGTAGCTAACAGCACTGCTCCAAGAGCTGTAGTCTGGTTCGCACCAGTGCTTTATGGCGCTGTAACTTGCTGCACTCGGAGGGAGAGGGGTGTTTTTCATACTTCTGAGCCAGAAAGTCACAGCGCAGTGAAGTGCCAGTGTAGATTTAGCCTTGGTGTTTTTTAAAGTGTTACAGATTTAAATCAACTGTTGAAACCGTTTAGCGACATGGTGGAAAACTGGGCCTATGTCTAGTGATCTGGGGCATCTTGATTTTGAGATCCGTTGCTGGGGCCTGATTTATAAAAAGTGGTGAGCAGCTTAACCTCTGAACATCACAAAAACGTAAGAATGGCCATACTGGGTCAGACCAAAGGACCATCTAACCCAGTATCGTGTCTGCCAATAGTGGCCAATACCAGATGCCCCAGAGGAAGGGAACACAACAGGTAATCCTCATATGAGCCCTCTCCTGTCACCCGTTTACAGACAAACAGAGGCTAGGGACACCATTCCTACCCCTCCTGGCTAACAGCCATTGATGGACCTAACCTCCATGAATCTATCTAGCTCTTTTTTTGAACCCTGTTAAAGTCCTAGCCTTCACCACATCCTCTGGCAAGGAGTTCCACATGTTGACTGTGTGATGAGTGAAGAAAAACTTCCTTTTTTTTAAAAAACCTGCTGCCTATTAATTTCATTTGGTGACCCCTAGTTCTTATATTGTGGGAATAAGTAAATCACTTTTCCTTAATCACTTTTTCCACACCAGTCATGATTTTATAGACCTCTATCATATCCCCCCTTAGTCTCCTCTCTTCTAAGATGAAAAGTCCCAGTCTTTAATCTCTCTTCATATGGCACCGTTCCAAATCCCTAATCATTTTTGTTACCCTTTTCTGAAACTGTATTCAAGATGTGAGCATACCATGGATTTATATAGAGGCAATATATCTCAGTCTTATTCTCGAACCCTTTTATAAATTATTCCTAACATTCTGTTTGCTTTTTTGACTGCCACTGCGCACTGAGTGGATTTTTTCAGAGAACTATCCACAATGACTCCAAGATCTCTCTCTTGAGTGATTATAGCTAAATTAGAATTAGTCCCCATCATTTTGTATTTATAGTAGGGATCAGAGAACTATCCACAATGACTCCAAGATCTCTCTCTTGAGTGATTATAGCTAAATTAGAATTAGTCCCCATCATTTTGTATTTATAGTAGGGATTATTTTTTTCCAATGTGTGTTACTTTACAATTATCAAAATTAAATTTCATTTGCCATTTTGTTGACCAATCATGTAGTTTGGTGAGATCTTTTTGAAGCTCTTCACAGTCTGCTTTGGTCTTCACTATCTTGAGCAGTTTGGTGTGATCTGCAACTTTTGCCACCTCACAGTTTACCCCTTTCTCCAGGTTATAAATAGGTTGAATAGGATTGGTCCCAATAAGGACCCTTGGGGGACACCACTAGTTCTCTCTCTCCATTCTGAAAACTGACCATTTATTCCTACTCTTTGTTTTCTGTCTATTAACCAGTTACCAGTTCATGTGAGGACCTTCCCTCTTATACCATGACAAATAACTTTACTTAAGAGCCTTTGATGAGGGACCTTGTCAAAGACTTCTTCAGTTCCCTTGAAGAAGCTGCATGCCTCATGCTGGGCACTGGTCAGGTAAGGCCATGGTATCCATGGGAGGGGAGCAATGGGGAAGTGTTGTAGCTATAATCCTTCGCTGATTTTATTTAGGGCTTTTTTGTGGGGGGCGTTGGTTTTTTTTGGGAGACACAGTAATAAACTTTGCAGGCTAACAAACCTGCAGGCTAACTAATCTGCAGGCTAACAAAAAAGTTTAATATAATCATCCTAGAGCAGGGTTTCCAAACCTATGGGTCGGGACCCAAATATGAGTCGCCATTACATTTCAAAAGGGTCGCCAGGTATCTCCCCAGGTGGCTCTTAAAGAGCCATTCACGCATTTTTTTAATTGCCAAAAATTAAATTTGTCAAAATGGGTCCCCATCTGGAAAAGGCTAGGAACCGCTGTCCTAAAGTTAAGAAAAACCAACATCTAGGTTGGCTTCTACTTTTACACTACAAAAAAATATGCATTTATCTATTCAGGGCCTAATTGCTACAGTGTCTGAGCATCTGCAGCTCCCATAGGGGCTTACTCGCAATCATCCTGCTCAGCATGCCTGAAAATAAAGCTCTCAGTGCTTAAATTTGCACTTGAATTGGTCACTGAAAAACAACAAACATTGAGTCATACAGTGAAGTCTGAAGTGAGAGCTCTCAGAATGGAACAGTCACAGGATCTGTGTTTATTAAGGATTTGGGAATGGAATTTGCCTCTAAGCCACCAAATAAATCAGAAAGAAGATTTTAAAAGATGTCGTACTTAATTTTTCCAAGATTTCTTCATCTGACATCTTCGGCTTTTTCTTCTGTTTCTCTGTATTCCTGGTCATTGTGTCTGGGGATGTTGTGTTGTTTTCCGAGGGCGAGGAGATAGGGGAGGTGGCCACATCTTTGGTAGGAGGCGGCGGAAGGGGCTCTATCACAGAACGGGTATATACCTTTATGTTGGGGAGGAAGGGGGTAAATATGTTGTAGTAAAGAAGGCTGAAAATAAAAGGTCTCTGTGCACTAGAGATATGTCCTTAGCAGTATAGATTGGACCTCCCTTGTGCAGCACCCTCAGGATCTGACTGGTCCCAGATGAGGGATTTTGTTGGACCAGGAGGTCATTTCTGGCCTCCTCCTATCGGCCCCACCCCCTGCCCTGCCACCCCACCAGGCTTCCTGGCTTCCCTGAGCAACCCAGCTAGGCTGTGCACTGGGCTTCCCTCCCACCCACCTGCACTTGCAGCCCAGCTGAGCCATGAGGCTGGGCTTCCCAGCTCTGCTCTCCCTCCCTCTCCCCCAGCCAAGCCGGGCCATGTGCTGGACTCCAAGCCCCTACCTCACATTGCACCGGGTTTCCCTCCTCCCCACACTCTGGAGGCGCACCAGGACTCTCTGATCCTGGATCATGTGTGGTCCTGCTGGACCATGGATGTTGCCAGACCAGAGAGTCCCAATTTATAGAGCAGCAACTTGTAGCATGTTCCAAGCAATGAAAGAATTTTTACTACAGCAAGTCATTTTACTACAATAAGAGCACCGTGGCTGGACTCATGGAGGTATTAAGCTGCTCTAGGAAAAGGCATGAAGCATTTTACTCCTTCCCCAGAGCTAAAATGCTAAAAATAGCAGCTTGGCCACAGAGGCAAGTGCAATGGGAGAGGCAGACACTCCAAGTGCGTACCCACCTGAGACCACAGCATGTCCCCGGGGTGGCTAGCCCCTTGCCTCCTGCGGCCCAACCATATTGCTCTTTTTAGCATGCCAGCTCAATCTGAGCTAGCGTGAGTTTGGACACACTCTGTGACTCTGGCACACAACTGGTTCTCAAGTGCATTCCTGGGGCAGTGCAACAGGGTGTGCACCATCCCTTGCCCAGAGCTGACCCAAGGTGCAGTTTGGCCTGAAGCGGTAAAGTCAGTAGGAAGGGAAGAAAGATTTCTAGCTGACTTACTGATTTTGTGTGCTCAGGTCGCGGTGCTATCACTGGAGGTGGAGCAGCATCATCCTCATCATCTTCATCTTCTGAAACTGGCGGGACTGCTGGTGTCTCAGATACAGCTTTCACATTCTGCATTTTGGTGAAAAGACAAAAGATGCCATTTGGAGTCCCAGAATCCTCTCTCTCTTTTTTTAAATCACTCTTCACAGAAATGGAATTACACTTCTAGCATTTAAGCCCTTCACATCACTATGGGAATTATTATCCAATGGGTTTGACAATAAATCATGGTCAGTTCACTTGGACGATGCTATAAAAGTGACAGTTTGGATGGAACTCTTCACATGAGTTCATGGGTGTCTGCAGGATCAGGCCCTAAAAATCAAGCAACTAGGTTTCTTGGACTCTTGCATGCTTGCTGTTGGATGGTGATAGACACTGGAGGTGTGGGAATCCGGGTGCAATTTGACACACGTCATGCAGCAATGCATCAGTGTCAGATATTTCGGGTTGGCTATACAAATAGCCTTGCATCCATCACAAATTACTGAGTAGGCCTCTGATTCTGAAACATGCTGGCAGGTCTGTTCCATTTCAAATACTTTTATCACAAGCCCTCACCTAAGGGAAAGGCCTGCCCAGAAATTAGCATCTTGCCGGCAGAGCGTTCCACTGGGCATGGTTTGGCTGGAGGTGTTGATAAAGAGGCATGGGAGAGACACTGAGCAAGCAACTGGCAATGGCCTGAAAAAAGCTTAGAGAGATTTGGGGTACTGTCTTTTGCAGGGAAACAGGACTCCTACATTCCTTGTATATCAACAATAAGCATCAACAAAAATGCCACACTCTAAAATTGATGTTTACTCCCAATTGGAAAAGCCCCAGTGCCCCAGACCTTGACTAGTTGCTCAGGTCAGCAGGACTATGAAGCATCATTGAAGGTAATGAAGGAACATGGGCAGATTGGTGAATAACACTAAGACAAAACTATACCTTGCAACATAATTTTTTTCATTATATTAAACCAGAAAGACTGAGAAAATGGAACTGCAATTGCACATGGCTTTAAGAAGAGACTGATCTTTAGAAGCACAAACAGCTTGTGTCCACTTTACAGAAATCTGTGCCTCGATTCCTTCTCTTCAAAATGGGATAATTGTTCCGTTAATGGCAAACGGAAGTCAGAACAGTTTATGTTTGTCTTTGTGGAAGGCTGCAGCGTAACTACTTTTTATTCTTAAAATCCCAAATGATAACACACAATAATCAAAAGCAGAGACAGGGCCAGCCCACAACATTTTGGCACCTGAGTTCAGTTGTGTTCAGTTCTGGGCACCGCATTTCAAGAAAGATGTGGAGAAATTGGAGAGGGTCCAGAGAAGAGCAAGAAGAATGATTAAAAGTCTAGAGAACATGACCTATGAGGGAAGACTGAAGGAATTGGGTTTGTTTAGTTTAGAAAAGAGAAGACTGAGGGGGGACATGATAGCAGTTTTCAGGTATCTAAAAGGGTGCCATAAGGAGGAGGGAGAAAACTTGTTCATCTTGGCCTCTGAGGATAGAGCAAGAAGCAATGGGCTTAAACTGCAGCAAGGGAGGTTTAGGTTGGACATTAGGAAAAAGTTCCTAACGGTCAGGGTAGTTAAACACTGGAATAAATTGCCCAGGGAGGTTGTGGAATCTCCATCTGTGGAGACATTTAAGAGCAGGTTAGATAAATGTCTATCAGGGATGGTCTAGACAGTATTTGGCCCTGCCATGAGGGCAGGGGACTGGACTCGATGACCTCTCGAGGTCCCTTCCAGTCCTAGTATTCTATGAGGCGGGGAGCTCAAACGATGCCCTCATGCCCCCTCTCTTGGGCCAATACTTTGAAAGGTCTCAATTCTGCCCTCTTCCTGTTCTACCCCTCTCATGGCACTCCACCATCTCTGTGCATCTAGAGCAGAGAGAATACATATGCACCAACTCCAGACACAATTTTCTACACTCTGGGTCCTAGTGGCCCCTCCCCCCCCAGTCTGGCACCTGAGGTGGCCGCCTCAGTTTGCCTCATGGTAGGGCCAGCCCTCAGCAGAGAGAGACAAGACAAAACAGGCTGCTCCATAAGACACGGAAGCAACACTCACCTCACCTTGTTCTAGGATTGTTCTCTGCAGACTGACGACAGACTGTATGCTTGTCTACAGACTCTGCTAGCCTACAATCAGGGCCAGGAAATGCCCTGCACAATGTTCCTGTTAATCTTTTCTATCCATATGTGGATTTTTTCCATCGGTGTGCAGAATAAAATGTCTGTACACCAAGGCATGCATGAATGTGCAAGAGAAACACAAACTTAGCTGCAGACACTCTGCTAATCAACTCGGCAGCATCTGAATCTCTCCTGAGTGGCCACGCACATTTACGGCTTACAGGGAACACTGCCCCCATACCACTGAAAGTGATAGCTTGCAATTCCAACAGGTTTATCAATGCACACCAATAATAATAATCTTTCATCTAAATATACGCTAGGTGCTCCAGGCAGGGACTCTCTCACACTGTACCTTTGTAATTACCAAAACTAAGTTTCACAAGATAAAATTCAGTCAGGGCTAGAGATATGTCCAACAAAATAAACCATGAATGTAGATCCAAACTGCATAGTTCAGGAGTGGTGGACTCATGTTTTGAATCTGATCAAGCGCACAGTACTTTGCAATTTAGGAAAGAGACCTCCAAATTTAGGACTGGACTCAAGAGCAGCATATCCAGCTCCCATATTGTATACAACTCCTGCAGGGTGGAAATCTGACTTTAAAAGTTCCCATATCAAAGCAAGGAGTGGTGGTGCCTTGCATTGCAAAACTGCATTATGGAATAGAGGTTCCCTGCCCTGCCAAAAGGCTTCCATCCACCTTCATGAGCATTTTCATCCTGAATTCTAAACGCCAGTGTTACTCTTTTTCTGTGCAAAACAAAGTAAAGAAAAAATTGTTAAACAAAAATAATCAAACTGCTAGATCTGATGCGCCAAGGGAGGAAAATCCAGCTAACTACAGGACTAGCAGTTTCTCTCTCCAGAAGATGGTCGGTGTTCAGAAGGGGTATCAGCCAGAGCCCTAGGGACGGAACATCTCTATTTAAATGCCAGAATGGGCAGTGGTGGTGTAAGCTTCTCACACACACACGCGTGCAGGCAGCTTGGAAGGGTCAGTTGCGGGTGTCTGCCATTTTTAAAATGTGTACAGGGCCTCCTTTAGATTCTTGGAAGTCCTATGCAAAGTAAATCATGGCAAACATCCACAACCTATCCAGGCAGGACTGACAGCTAGGCAAGCTGGTTACCTGCCACTAGGGAAAGTAGAAGGGTTTTAACAACTGTGGAGGTGTGGGCAGAATTATCAGACACTTGTCACTAGTGAAGATGGCCAGGCAGGAGGAGGGTTTTGGCACATGCGAGGGTGTTGAATGCCCTCCCCCACTTATTCCTGATCAGGAGGCGTGGGTTGCATACAAAGCACAGTACTTCACTCAGTGGTGATTACTAAGAGACACCCAGCAGGTAGAGAGCCCTGTGCCACATGCCTTCTACCAGTCTGGTCTTGAGAGTTCAATCTCTACACACCATCATCTTTGGCTGCTCTGGAGAAAGCTACTAACAATGGAGCACTGATAGTACTTTTTGTGAGAGGCCATCTGTCCTACTGGGAATTGAACCAAGTGTTATCAAGTAGCACTCATCTGTGACAGAACTGAATAGGGCTCTTAGAAAATAAAAGCCTCCATCATTTTCTATTCTCCTGAGACATCCTGCCACCCAGCTACAGGTGAAGGAGGTTTTCAATTGTCAGATTTGCTTTGTAGGGAAGGGAAGGCACGCTTCAAATCTAAGGACTGTGAGAGTTTTCCCTCCAGCCTGGCAAATAAACAGACAGGCTTGCTACTTCTTTCCTAAAGTGGTTGTTAAAAATAGTGACCGGACTTGCGACTGGTATCCTAAAAACCAAAACCCTCAAAAACCTGCTTTTCCAGTACAGTCTCTCTCTGGGACAACACTAAGTGACGGGAATAGATCAAGGGCAGATTGTTCACACAGCTAAAGTGTGTTGCTGTGCCAACAAAACAAAGTGTTGGCAGAAGCACTGCACTGATTTTAATAACCACAGTAATAAAAAAAAACATGGTTCTGCTTGCAAATTAACTTCCTTCGCTCAGTGTTTATTATTGTCTCGCTTGGGGAAAAATAAGCCTGGTTTGTTCTCACCTGAACGGATGGCGGATCTCTCTGTGACCTTAGCACCTCTAAATCCTAACAGGGATACCATGTTCCCCAGCAGTCAGCCACTGCCCCCGCACTGACGCTATGAAAGGTCTGTATACCACCTCTTTCCAGATTATGACCAGGACTGGGCCCAAGCCATGAAGTTTGAATCCAGAGCCACATACTTCCCCAAAGTTAAAGGATAATGGTGAATGCAGATTTAGTGTTCTAGATCAGGTCCAATACTGAAAGGTCTTACTTCAGTACTACATCTTAGTCTTGATAAAGAGACTGTAAAAGAAGCAAAACTGCAAGCAGGCACTGTGTTTAAGTTACGAACACAGACTGGGGGGGGGGGGGGGGGGGAGGAGAGAGAGCACACAGCCTCCTCCCACCCTGCCCCTGCCCTGCCAGGAGTACACGGCGCTTTGAAGCGCTGTGCACTCCTGGCAGGGCAGGAGGAGACTTTGCGCACTCCCCCCGCCCCTAACCCTGACTAGCCTGGGGGTGGCAGGAGCACACAAAGTCTCCTCCAGGGGTGCAGCGCTTCTAAGCAGGGTGAGAGGAGACTTTGCATGCTCTCCTTGCCCCCAGGCCAATCAGGGCTTGGAGGTGGGGGGAGCATGTGAAAGTCTCCTCTAGCCCTGCAAGCACTGCTCAGCTGGCGGTTGACTCAGAGCACCGCGCTCCCTTGCAAGGCGGGGGTAGAGAGCGAGAGACTTCACTTACTCCCCCTCCCTGATTGACCTGGGGGCAGCACACAAAATCTCCTCCCACTACCAGGGGCAGGGTACCTAGAGGGTGCCGCCCGGGGGGGGGGGGGGGGGGGGGTTTACCGGCTC